TAAGAGGAATGCCAGAGTGTCCTCCATTTTGAGCATGGCCAAGAAGCATGAATTTATATTTCTAAATATTTTGAGCTTTTCTTTGGTTGTCTCCTCCATTTGTCCTCAAAGGTCCTACATTTTGTGGTGCCTTGTTCCCCCCCTTTGTGGTTCTGACATCTGGTCACCCTGGGCTAAAGGGATGTTCTCCTTTCCCAGGACATGTCCTCCATTACAACTAGGAGGAATGCCAAAATGACCTCCCTTTTGAGCATGTCTAACAAGCATGAATCAACATTTTTAGGAAGTGTTTTGTTCTTTGGTCATGCCCTCCATTTGTCCTCTAAGCTCTTCCTTTTGTGGTTCTGACATCTGACCACCCTAGGCTCAGGGTGACCAGAGGTCCTTCCCCTTTTCCATGACATGCCCTACATTTAAAACAGGAGGAATTCCAAAACATCTTCCCTTTTGAACATGGCCAAGAAGCATGGGTCGACATTTCTAGGAAGCATTTTGAGCTTTCCTTTGGTTGTGTCCTCCATTTGTCCTCAAAATTCCTCCATTTTGTGGTGCCTTGTCCATCTCTGTGGTTCTGACATCTGGTCAACCTGGGCTCAGGGTGACCGGAGGTCCTCCTCCTATTCCAGGACATGTCCTACATTTCATCCAGGAGGAATGCCAAAACGAGATGGCCAAGAAGCATATATCAACATTTCTAGGAACTATTTTGAGCTCTCCTTTGGCGGTGTCCTCCATTTGTGCTTCTGACATCTGGTCAATTAGGGCTCAGGCTGACCAGAGGTCCTACTCCTTTTCCAGGACATGTCTTACATTTAAACCAAGAGGAATGCCAATATGTCCTCCCTTTTGAGCAAGTCTAAGAAGCATGGATTGAATATCTAAGAAGAGTTTTGAGCTCTCCTTTGGTTGTGTCCTCCATTTGTTCTTCTGCCATCTGGTCAACCTGGGCCCAGGGAGACCAGAGGTCCTCCTCCTTTTCCAGGACATGTCCTCCATCTCAACCAGGAGGAATGCCAAAA